AATATTATTTTGTTGAAGAATAAGTAGGGACACTCTCCAACACGTGCTCACATGTTTAAAGTATGTTATACAAAGGAGACTGGAACCCCTGAGGCAATGAAAGCAATGATAGTATGTACCAAATAATTATCTGTGCATTTGAACTTGTAAATTAGTTAAAATTCCCACATTATAGTGTTGAGTGATTGAAATGTATATATTAAGTTATGTTTATTGCAAACTTATAGGATGAAATGAATGAGAGGACAACCTTAAATGAAAATTTATCAAATGAGGGCTCAAATGATACATTTGGACAAGTGATGGGTAAATAAAAACATGGACGAGTTCGCATATATGGATTAGGTGTCTCCCCGTCTAATTTATGGAAAAATACATCTAGTCATAAAGCAAACCAAAACACAACAATGGATGCTATGGAAGCTGAAAATTCGGAGCCAGTCCAAAGTTTCCCATGTTCAGCATGCTCCGAATAACTTGACAAACATATCTAATCAGGTAATTTTTTTAATAGAATTTATAAGTTATTAATATTTTCCTACACTTATATATACATACATATATCTTTGTGTGTGTGTTCGTAAAATTAATCAGTTCAAATTTGGTTAGGCCACAACAACTTCTAGTCCTCTTGACATGGCAGCTCGACATCAAGCATTGTCTTTGTCATCGATATAAGATACCTCTCTTACACAGGTACCCACTAAGAGCTAATCATATACATCACATTACTTCCACCTTTATTTTAGAATAGCATGTAACACTTATCTTACAATTAACAAAGGAATGAATATTGTGGACATAAATTCCATTGTTTAAATCTAGACAAAATGTGCTAAATAGTCAAAATCATGACATGACGAAGTTTGTGCTTTTTTAAAAAAAATTAATTTTATTTTCTTCTGAAGCTTTAACAAAACATCTCTCCATCATTTACTACTATGTGGGCTCTTTCTGACTCTCTCAAAATATTGCTTGAAAGTAATTAGTTGATTGTCATTTTTCACAATTACATTTGATTTACATCGTTGAGGTTAGGGGATCCTGATATGGATAATGGGCATGTTTTGATTGTTGTTGATTGGTGCTTTTGGTTGTTATTGATTTTTTAAGCTATTGTTTTATATGGTCTAAAGACTTACGGTTGTTACTTTTCTATAATTTGTTGTAGTGTAGTGAACCGATTAAGTGATGAAAGCATTTGGCTTGCTAACAACAAATCTCTTCGCCTTTCCGGTAATCCAACAGACTTAGTCCGTGTCAGAATCGGAATGGCCTTCGTTGGAGGACAATGCCAGACATCAACATTATCATTAGTATATTTTTTAGATAAAACAACAATAGAGGGGGCCCTCATTTGCGAATCTTCTGGCATGTCACTTGTAGAATACTTCAGATACCCCTTCATTTTGCAATACGTAAACCCCCTTTTAATCAATTACTAAAAGTAACCAATAATGTTGTACTTGAAAATTCAATGGCCAGAATTTTGCTAGAGGACATTAAAAAAAAATAATAACCAAAAAAAGAGTACCGACTTTATTAACATGTTGTTGTGCTTATTCACCATGAGCTCTCCTGGTGACTATTAGAAATTAATGTTCATGCTGATTGCAGCCTTAGAGACAAAGTTCCATAAGCTACTTCCTCCATGAGCTCTCCTGGTGACTATTAGAAATTAATGTTCATGCTGATTGCAGCCTTAGAGACAAAGTTCCATAAGCTACTTCCTCCATGAGCTCTCCTGGTGACTATTAGAAATTAATGTTCATGCTGATTGCAGCCTTAGAGACAAAGTTCCATAAGCTACTTCCTCCATGAGCTCTCCTGGTGACTATTAGAAATTAATGTTCATGCTGATTGCAGCCTTAGAGACAAAGTTCCATAAGCTACTTCCTCCATGAGCTCTCCTGGTGACTATTAGAAATTAATGTTCATGCTGATTGCAGCCTTAGAGACAAAGTTCCATAAGCTACTTCCTCCATGAGCTCTCCTGGTGACTATTAGAAATTAATGTTCATGCTGATTGCAGCCTTAGAGACAAAGTTCCATAAGCTACTTCCTCCATGAGCTCTCCTGGTGACTATTAGAAATTAATGTTCATGCTGATTGCAGCCTTAGAGACAAAGTTCCATAAGCTACTTCCTCCATGAGCTCTCCTGGTGACTATTAGAAATTAATGTTCATGCTGATTGCAGCCTTAGAGACAAAGTTCCATAAGCTACTTCCTCCATGAGCTCTCCTGGTGACTATTAGAAATTAATGTTCATGCTGATTGCAGCCTTAGAGACAAAGTTCCATAAGCTACTTCCTCCATGAGCTCTCCTGGTGACTATTAGAAATTAATGTTCATGCTGATTGCAGCCTTAGAGACAAAGTTCCATAAGCTACTTCCTCCATGAGCTCTCCTGGTGACTATTAGAAATTAATGTTCATGCTGATTGCAGCCTTAGAGACAAAGTTCCATAAGCTACTTCCTCCATGAGCTCTCCTGGTGACTATTAGAAATTAATGTTCATGCTGATTGCAGCCTTAGAGACAAAGTTCCATAAGCTACTTCCTCCATGAGCTCTCCTGGTGACTATTAGAAATTAATGTTCATGCTGATTGCAGCCTTAGAGACAAAGTTCCATAAGCTACTTCCTCCATGAGCTCTCCTGGTGACTATTAGAAATTAATGTTCATGCTGATTGCAGCCTTAGAGACAAAGTTCCATAAGCTACTTCCTCCATGAGCTCTCCTGGTGACTATTAGAAATTAATGTTCATGCTGATTGCAGCCTTAGAGACAAAGTTCCATAAGCTACTTCCTCCATGAGCTCTCCTGGTGACTATTAGAAATTAATGTTCATGCTGATTGCAGCCTTAGAGACAAAGTTCCATAAGCTACTTCCTCCATGAGCTCTCCTGGTGACTATTAGAAATTAATGTTCATGCTGATTGCAGCCTTAGAGACAAAGTTCCATAAGCTACTTCCTCCATGAGCTCTCCTGGTGACTATTAGAAATTAATGTTCATGCTGATTGCAGCCTTAGAGACAAAGTTCCATAAGCTACTTCCTCCATGAGCTCTCCTGGTGACTATTAGAAATTAATGTTCATGCTGATTGCAGCCTTAGAGACAAAGTTCCATAAGCTACTTCCTCCATGAGCTCTCCTGGTGACTATTAGAAATTAATGTTCATGCTGATTGCAGCCTTAGAGACAAAGTTCCATAAGCTACTTCCTCCATGAGCTCTCCTGGTGACTATTAGAAATTAATGTTCATGCTGATTGCAGCCTTAGAGACAAAGTTCCATAAGCTACTTCCTCCATGAGCTCTCCTGGTGACTATTAGAAATTAATGTTCATGCTGATTGCAGCCTTAGAGACAAAGTTCCATAAGCTACTTCCTCCATGAGCTCTCCTGGTGACTATTAGAAATTAATGTTCATGCTGATTGCAGCCTTAGAGACAAAGTTCCATAAGCTACTTCCTCCATGAGCTCTCCTGGTGACTATTAGAAATTAATGTTCATGCTGATTGCAGCCTTAGAGACAAAGTTCCATAAGCTACTTCCTCCATGAGCTCTCCTGGTGACTATTAGAAATTAATGTTCATGCTGATTGCAGCCTTAGAGACAAAGTTCCATAAGCTACTTCCTCCATGAGCTCTCCTGGTGACTATTAGAAATTAATGTTCATGCTGATTGCAGCCTTAGAGACAAAGTTCCATAAGCTACTTCCTCCATGAGCTCTCCTGGTGACTATTAGAAATTAATGTTCATGCTGATTGCAGCCTTAGAGACAAAGTTCCATAAGCTACTTCCTCCATGAGCTCTCCTGGTGACTATTAGAAATTAATGTTCATGCTGATTGCAGCCTTAGAGACAAAGTTCCATAAGCTACTTCCTCCATGAGCTCTCCTGGTGACTATTAGAAATTAATGTTCATGCTGATTGCAGCCTTAGAGACAAAGTTCCATAAGCTACTTCCTCCATGAGCTCTCCTGGTGACTATTAGAAATTAATGTTCATGCTGATTGCAGCCTTAGAGACAAAGTTCCATAAGCTACTTCCTCCATGAGCTCTCCTGGTGACTATTAGAAATTAATGTTCATGCTGATTGCAGCCTTAGAGACAAAGTTCCATAAGCTACTTCCTCCATGAGCTCTCCTGGTGACTATTAGAAATTAATGTTCATGCTGATTGCAGCCTTAGAGACAAAGTTCCATAAGCTACTTCCTCCATGAGCTCTCCTGGTGACTATTAGAAATTAATGTTCATGCTGATTGCAGCCTTAGAGACAAAGTTCCATAAGCTACTTCCTCCATGAGCTCTCCTGGTGACTATTAGAAATTAATGTTCATGCTGATTGCAGCCTTAGAGACAAAGTTCCATAAGCTACTTCCTCCATGAGCTCTCCTGGTGACTATTAGAAATTAATGTTCATGCTGATTGCAGCCTTAGAGACAAAGTTCCATAAGCTACTTCCTCCATGAGCTCTCCTGGTGACTATTAGAAATTAATGTTCATGCTGATTGCAGCCTTAGAGACAAAGTTCCATAAGCTACTTCCTCCATGAGCTCTCCTGGTGACTATTAGAAATTAATGTTCATGCTGATTGCAGCCTTAGAGACAAAGTTCCATAAGCTACTTCCTCCATGAGCTCTCCTGGTGACTATTAGAAATTAATGTTCATGCTGATTGCAGCCTTAGAGACAAAGTTCCATAAGCTACTTCCTCCATGAGCTCCCCTGGTGACTTGTGTTAGAAATTAATGTTCATGTTGATCCAAACATAGCTTTGGTTCTTTTTTTTCTTTTGTTTTGTGTGCATGCGGGTGCACGCGCGCTTAGCATCCAAAGTGCTTTATTGGTTGAATTGAGGTGAATAGTAAAGTTGAGATATCAATAAGTAATATCAAACCTTTACGCTATGCTTGGATCATGGATTTGGGTATGGTTTGGGAAAGGGAAACAAAAAAGCATCCAAGCATGGCTTTAGATTATCCCCTTCTAAATTAGGAAGTTAGAATGCCAAGATTTTAATTTACTTTTCACAATAACCCTCATTTTTGGGCATTGGCAGGTTCCATTCTTCTCAGAGATGGATGATCAGTTACTTGATGCAATATGCGAGCGTCTGGTCTCCTCACTGAGCACTGAAGGTACCTACATTGTTCGCGAGGGTGACCCCGTCACAGAGATGCTTTTTATTATCCGGGGGAGACTAGAAAGTTCTACTACAAATGGAGGTCGGACTGGGTTCTTCAATTCCATTACATTGAGACCTGGAGATTTTTGTGGGGAAGAGCTACTTGCCTGGGCTTTGCTTCCAAAATCAACTCAGAACTTGCCTTCTTCAACTAGGACTGTTAGAACACTCGCTGAAGTTGAAGCATTTGCATTGCAAGCTGAAGATCTCAAGTTTGTAGCCAACCAATTTAGGCGCCTCCACAGTAAGAAGCTACAGCATACATTCCGTTTCTATTCCCACCATTGGAGGACGTGGGCGGCCTGCTTTATTCAGGCGGCTTGGCGGCGCTACAAGAGGAGGATGATGGCAAGAGATCTCACTTCGATGGAGTCATTTGCTTTGGATGAGAGAGCAGTTGGTGAGACTAGCCAGGAGCAGCAGGATGGTTCGAATCCTTCTGAGCCAAAACCAAACATGGGGGTCACAATATTGGCTTCAAGGTTTGCTGCAAACACTAGAAGAGGAGTTCAGAAGATTAAAGGTGTGAGCCTGCCTCAGTTACAGAAACCTGAAGAGCCTGACTTCTCTGCTGAGCCAGATGAATAGTTGCTATTTTGTATCACCTAGAGGTATATACAGCAACTACACATTTCACTGCAAAGAGAAGATGACTCAGATATGCACTCCAAAAACTGTTCCAAATGGGGCCTGAAATCCACATTGTCCACGTCCCTAATCCTATGCATCTTCTGCCAATTGGAGACAGAGATTGTATTGTATTAAGAGAAGGGGAAGGGAAAGCTGAGTCTTCCTTTTTGTATGTGTAATTTATAACATTGTAGTAATGTTGTTATTTTGTACTATATCACTATATCTTCTTTGGTTGTACGACTAGGAGCTTTAGAATCAACTCTCAGTTGATGATCTATTAGCCAGTTCAACTGCTGTGGACCCTATGATTTGCAAGTAAAATGATTTCTCAAATTTGCCTAGAGAACATGATGCTAGAATCATCTCTGTTATGTGCAGCCTGCTATGAGATTGGGAGTGTTTCATGGAAAATTATTAGATAGTTACCAAGCTTCTCATGACTCCACGTGTTATCTTTGTATAGGTTGTATTTTGTTGCACCGGTGAAACTGAAAGGATATAGTTTTTCTCGGGTCCATTTAGGTGGACTAGATCATTTGGTTGGGCTTGTGGAGCTTATGATGGGCTTCACTATATTGATTTGATTCATTCATTTTGTAGGATTCTATTAAGGAAAAAAAATCAACAAATTGATTAGTTAATCATACTAGCATTATTTTATTGTATTTATGATGATTTATTTTTTAAAAATATATGATAATAGAATATTTTTGTAAAATTTCAAATTGATCGGATAATAGTAAACCTATGATCAGATCAAATTTGTATCTGCAAAAATAAATAGTAGGTGTAATTTTGATTATAAAATTGAAAACAAAATTTGAAAATTCTCGAATTGTCTCATGATTACATGATTATCGATTTAGGCAATCTAATAAAAATTATGAAATCATGATCAATATAGAGTGAGAGAGTAAAATAAAAACACAACCACAACACCAAGATTTTTTATGTGAAAAAATCATAATTAGAATTTACCGACTTGTGATAAAAAATCATGGATCCTGGACCAGACGAAAAATCCATTATAAAGTAAGAGTAGTACAAGAGATATCTTACAAAGACCAATCTAGGCTCACGAGTTTGCTCAACTTATTATAAATAACTTCATCCCTGCCTTTATTGGATATATTCGCTTATGCTGTTTAATCCACAATAGTGTCGAATCCACGACGAGCTTGCTTTGGAATCCATCAAAGACTTCGTATAATCTTGGAATCCACCAAAAAGATTGTCGAATCACCACGATGCCACAACTTCAGAATCTACCGAAGCCTCAAGATACAATCTTGGAATCCACCAACAAGGTTCAGTTAGAAAGTGTAAGGAACTTTTACAGCTTGATGTTAAACTTGAAGCACCTATGAGGTAATGAATTATCAGGCAAACTTGAGAGATTAATGCATAGAATTCTCACTACAAATTTTCTCTCACTCTCTCTCTCTCTCTCATAAAATAGTCTCTCTTTAGTTACAAAAGAAATACGGGAGATGCCTTTGAGAGTTGCTAGAGTGGTCCAAAATAATTCAACATGTCTTGATTTAAATAGACCCGAGGCAGAGCAGCATCGCTAGCTCAATGGACTCATCGCGTGCTGTAGAGAGAAACAATGATGAGAGCTGAGTTTTGCACTTTTTTAAATAGCGGCTTGTTCATGAGTGTGATGCTTATACATCGTGGGCGCGATTCTCTATTCGTGGGTTGCAGACAAAAGTACTAGAAGCATGTTTTTCGAGCATTACAAATCGCGAGCACAAAGGCTTTGTTCGCGGGTGCGATAGAGCATGCTGACATAGCAGTAATTTGTAGACTTTTACCCATTTGTAGGGCTTATTTAACAAACGATTTCTTAACAAAGGAGTTCGGGCATGTTTGATTGGGTGGATTAGAGCATAGGATTAGGATTATTAATCCGTGGGCCCAATTATCCTATGTTTGTTTTGACATTTTGGTTTAGGATTATTAATCCAATGGATAATTAATCCAACAAATTTGTAGAATTATTAGTAATGGGGTAGGGGTGGGATTATTAATCCAATGGATATTAATCCAATTGGATAGTGAATACCACACTAATTTAATAGGATTATTAATACTTCACTATTAATCTTGTGAATCAAACATGACCTTCGAGCGTAGAGTCCAGCCTTATTTAACAAACGAGCGGAGCTCGAACCCACTATGGCTCCACTCGTTAAGGCTCGTGAGTTGGGATATATAAATAAAACAAATAGGGTTTCTCATTTTAATTCTCTAGTTGATATATAGAGAAGAGGGAGAGGCGAAGAGGTGGAGAGAGCCTCAGAGGCATCATCGGTGGTCGATATTACCATCAAGGCAATGATTCTTCATTATGGGGAAGTGACGACACAGGGAGATAACTCCTCTCTTTGAATCCATTGTGGCGGGTTTCTTCTTTTTATTGACCTAGGCTCCTAATTAATTATTCAACTTCTGTTCATGTTCTAGATTTTTTTTTTCTTTCTATTTTCTTGGATTAAAATTTCTTTATATTATTATCGCTATCTTAAACATACAAATTAATTAGGGGTTTATTGTTTGGTTGTCAATTTGTTATGAATTTTTGGCTCTCTCTTATATATATATATAGGACTTAGTGTGTGTACATATATATAATATTACACAAAAGAAGTAAAAAGTAAGATAATCATTCTTAAGAGAGAAAAAATGGAAGTTTGGTCTTGGTGGTTGTCTTGTTTGATACAGAGATTAACAATGACAGTGTGTTTTGATTTTTTTTTTTTTTTTTAATTTTAAATTTAGGGGTTTATTTGGATTTCTCGTCCAACCTTTCACCTTCTTGCGCAATTATAAATATGTATTATTATATATATGAGTTGACAAATGATAGCACTATGAGATGAATAAAAAAACTCTGTTTTGATTGGGGGGTAGAAATATTGTTTATTATTAGCCATGATTTTTACATGGGTTTATTGATTTTTATTTTTTTGGGTTAAAAATGCTGTTTATTTTTATCAAACTAGTTTCTATTTGTTTTTTTTCTTCTTCCGAAATTAGATTATATAAATGAAACCAAATAAAGTAAAACCTTCTATAGATGTTAAAGTGATTCTTTGGTTGCAATTACAGTATATGGATCCATTACAAATAGCTATGAAAAATATTTGTATATAATGAGTTCAATGTTGTAGGTTTGATCCATTAGTTCTGGTCCATGGTCAAGATATTTAAAATACTTTAATTGTTAATTATGTGAAAAAATAATATTGACATCAATTTTTTTTTGCTTGTTTTGATAGCATGTGGAGCCTTTTAAAGAGATTATACTTCCTAATTAGTATGACACCCTCAGGTATGTTTTACCTTAAATATTTTATACTAAATTTAAGTTTTATCATGTGAGATTAATTTGTATATAATGAGTTCAATGTTACAGGTTAAAGACTTCAAAGTAAGGAAATGAAAAATTAGGCTTTGGTGATTATCATGTGAATCAATTTGAATTTTTCATACTAAAAGTTCTATCATGCGAGACTAATTTGTATATAATGAGTTTAATATTACAAGTTAAAGACTTTAAAGTAAGGAAAGGAAAAATTAGACTCTGGTGATTATCACGTGAATCAAGTTGCAACATTAGACTTGTTTTGGTGGAATGAATTTTGTATAATACATTAGACTTGTGATTTTGATTAAGGATTCAGTGGTTATTTGAATAGGTTTAAGTTGCACCTATTTTGCTGACAACTTTAGTAAATATGTATTGATTTGTGTATTCAATTTTGCTAGAACTATATGCAGGTAGTTCTCCAATGAAGAGGCAATGACTAGTAAAAGTTAGGCTATTTTATTTTCTGTTCCTTCTCTTTTTATTTTATTTTTTTTCATTGAAAAAATAATTACCATGCATTTGAATTAGTGTAGAAAATCATGATTTTATCATTTTTATTCTTTTTCTATTTTGTTTATTTTTTTGCAAATATATGGATTCATTTTTTGGGATTTTAATTTGAATAGAAGTTTGCCTATTTTTTTTTAGCTCGAGCTCATTTATGTAATCGAAGTAAGACGAATCAAATTTGAGTTTTTAAATTTCCTAACGAGTTGAGCTCAAACAAAAAAATTTAAGCTTAAATTGAGCTCGAGCCGAGCTTATTTATACCGAGCCAAGCTTGAATAATATAAAATTTGACTTGGTTTGACTCAACTCGACTGAACTCATTTATAATCCTATCCATATGAGGCTTCTTAATCTCAAAAATTATTCATTGGTTCAAAAACATCACGTGACCATATTCCTAAACAATTACAAACTCTTATATACTCGCATATTCTCTAATCACTTAGGAGTTGTTTGGGGTGTTATAAATAAGTGTACTTTTTGTTTTTTTGGACTAAAAAGTTGAGGGAAAAAAAAAATGGATGTTTAGGTTAACTTTTTGACTTTTTATGAAAAAATTTGTATTAAAAAATTATATAAATTAGTATGTAGAGAAAAATTAAGATTGAGAGTTGTGCAGCCGTACTTTCTAGGCAGTTTAATTGAGGCTAAGAAATGATTGGCTACTTTTTGGGTATTGCACTGGATGGTTTTGTTCGGCCCGTGGGGGCCATCACGGGTGCTATTTTGATAATTTGATCCGTTGAATGTGTAAAACTCGTCGAGTACTATATGCCTATAAAAAATCACGTTGATCAGATATCGATAGCTATCTGATCAGATTTTTTTTTAATCGTTAATTATAATACCATCTTTTTGTTTATACAAAATTGATTTAATCATATAGTTATCGATATCCGATCAATGTGAGTTTTTACAGACATATAGTGCTCGACGAGTTTTACAAATTGAACGGTTCAGATTATCAAAACAGGGCCCATGATGGCCCCCACTGGTCGAATAGCAGTGTGTGAAAATTACACCCAAACTGTGCAATTGTTCTTAACAAACGCTGCACAGCGCCAGTTTTGTCTTGATTGCTGAGTTGTATAGATGTGTGAAAAATTAATTTGTAAATTTTTTTTAATGAATAATAATAAATTTTTAATTTTTTAAGTAACTTTTTAATTTTTTGACTTTTTAAAAAGATATCAAACTTAATATAAAATCATAGATGTTATCCTCATCAAAATATGTGAGGCATATTTGCGAACCACAACAATAATTTGAACCATTAAAAAATACACTACTAATAGCACTAATGCATTAGAAATGACAAAAAAATAAAAGAAGGCATAAAAAGTGAAAGGGACCTATTGTCACATCATTAGTGTTCCTCATAATGCTCCGTTTTTAGTGCTCCAAGTATTTTTCTTGTGAACCAATCACTATGCTTGGTTACCACTTTTCAAAAAC